CCTCTTGGACAGCCCTTTTTGTCCTCTCCGATGGACCAGGACGACCCGAACGCTGCTCAGTTGTTTCCTTGTCGTGTTTCCTGAACTGTCGAAAGCGGGAATCCCAAATTCTGCGAAATTTGCTGCTGACTTATTCCATCATCTGCTTGACCAACTATCCTTCCTCTAACAAAATCTGATAATTCAAGAGAACCTTGAGTTCTAGGCATGTTGTAGCACAAGATAATTAGTGTGCAGACCATTTTCATTTATATAGTGCTCTGTGAACACAAATTAGTTAGCATAAATCAGTTAAGTGACGAAAAATTAGGTGTCTATTTACTTGTGACCACTCAGTGTATATTCTTATTAATGTGCAAGCTTTTGGATATTATCCATTTAAGTCAGAACAATTTCCAGTATAATCTCTTTTTATCTCTCAGAAACTATTCTGTTTATATTTGTGAATACACTCGTGATACAGTAACACAGGTCATTGTATGTACATATCAGTTGTATATTTCATTAAACACAGTTATGTAGGCTCAATTAACTAGTTCAGAAATATAGCATATCCTGATAATAATGATATCATAGTTTCATTATCTGGAGGCTCTAACTTCTTTTGTTATTTACAATGCACTACTCATCATTAGGTCATTAACTATAACAATGCAATATATAAAAACCTACTTGCAATTGTGATTCTAGTACAATCGGTAAACAGACATAAGAGAGTTTACAAATGTTATTAAAAAGTGACTATCAGCTTATACTTAGAAATGTATTTTAACAGGAGATTATGAATTTACCTGTAACAAGCCAACCATCAGTGGTGATTGTTTCTGATGTTATTTTAGGATTATTCAGATAACCTTTCATCATCTGTTCACCTCGTACATAAATCTCACCACATTCGTTTGGACCCAGAGTTACGCCAGTGGTGATGTCTATCACCTGTAAAGCAAATCTGGTGTAATGCAAATAAAGCCACATGGTATTTATCTGATTATACTGAGTTTCTTAAAATTCATATTGAGAATACAACCTTAATGGCACATATTTTATGGTGGTTTTAAAGAAAGCATACTGTAACAAAAATTAAAAATAATTTTTAATACTGATGTTAAAAAGTGTGATGCTTCATGTAGTTATTTCAAATCTAGATGCCTTAAGCAGAATTAAAATCAAAAATATAGAACACAACGAAAACAAACAATTAATATAATTACAGAATTTAAGTCAAAAATTGATTATAATTATTAGATATTCTGTGATTTATACTATGTTATTAGTGAACAGAAGACAGATGAGATGGTAACTGCCATCAGAAATAAAGTTATTAAACAAAAAAAGAAGATACAGAATATGCATTAGATAATCAAGTGCTATGCTGAAAAATAGCCAGTAAAGGACATATGGGCAAGACATTACATATAGTTGTACCTCACAGTTTAAAGTAAAGGTTATGATACTCCATTTGCAGCTCACTTAGCATTTGTGAAAACTTACAGTAGAATCATTAAACGTTTCTTTTGAATGAATATGAGAAAAAACATTAAAAATTACTATGAGTTATGTTTAGAATGTCAAAAACAAAAAACTAGTCCATACCTAAAAATGTTTCTTTACAAAGGGTGCCTAGCTTAACTGCATTTTTTCAACTAGTGGCTATGGATATTTTAGGTCCATTGCCCACATCTTAACTAGGAAATAAATATGTTCTAGTCATTGCTGATTATTTTCAGAAGCAATCTATTTAACAGATCAAAAAGCAGAAATAATTGCTAAGGCATTTCTGAATCAAATTGTGGTTAGACATGACATACTACAATATCTATTAACAGTTTGAGGTGCAAACTTAATTTCTAAGCTATGAAAAAGAAATTTAACGTATTAGGTATACAGAAAATTGAAACCACTGCTTATAACACAGCTGCTAACACTTTAATACAGAGACTTAACAGAACTCTATTAGTTATGATTTCTCAGTATTGTGAGCAAGATCATAAAACCTTGGATAAGCAAGTTCCTTTGTTACTATTAGCTTATAGAAGTGCTAAGAACGATTTTACACAACAAAGTCCTTTCTTTCTGTTGCATGGTAGATATGAACTAAAGCTGCTGGATATTGGGGACAGCAGGTGAATAAAAAAGCATAGACCAGTGAAATAAAATTAGGTTATAAAATGTTACAATACACACCTAAGTTTAAAAAAAGAAATTAAAAACTAGCAAACTATGGAGAGGATCATTTAGGTTAATTAAACCAGTAAGCCCAGTTAACTTCGAGAATCAAGAAATATATAGTAAATTTAAACTATTAGTACATGTTAACAGTTAACAGAATAAAGACAGTAAAAACTTCAAAACCATATCAGTATGAGCAATTAACAGATGAAACTGAAGTAAATAAAGAAGATAAGAAATTACAAAAACGATCTGAAGATGCCAGTGAAATTGAAATAATCCCTGACAATGACAAAATCGTAACTGCTGAAGATATTCAAATTAGCAACGCTAGTGACAAAAGTAGTACACCAATATAAGATGTACGAAGTTCACTGGTAACAGAAAAAAAAGGCTGATACAGTGATTCATGGTTACAGCCTATGGTCACGAGGCCCAATAACAGATCAAACAGACTTAACACTTACGCCTAGAATAAGGTAAGATTTGATCACAAGTTATTATTATATTATACATACATCTAAGAGTGATGTGAAAATAGTTAACAGTGACTCAAATAAAATGAAAGTATTCAACAATATGATATTGATAGATTATCTGAAAAGATATTACCAGGATAAGTAGAGTAAGATTGTATATAATCTATGTTTAGTAATGGAATATTATATTGTTATGTGTACTAGTACTAGTAGACATATTCATAGGCATACCAGGATCTTGTGCTACTGACTTTAGGAATTCATACAGGACAAAATGTAAGTGTCATTCCATTACAGAATAAGGTGAATATGGTATTTTTTAAAGAAGGAAATTCTATATTATCTGGAGGTAAATGGATAATTGTCAATGACAAACCATTTCCACAGTATGTTCTGTTGTTAATCTGTTTACAAGAAGAATTAGTAGCATTCAAGAAATCATTTGACGTTCGATACTCATGTTAGTTTTTATCCAGGAAGTGCAGATAATATGACATCATATCACATGACATATCAGGGAATAGCTATCTTAATACAGGTAAGATTATTACAGAAAGGACTAATTGAAAATTACAAGACACTAGTTAAGCAATATCATGATGAGATAGGTGAGCTATTACTAGAACTAAATGATATAAAAGACATCATTTCTATATCGGATTGTAGTCAACAAAAATGTGATTAAATTAATTCTTATTTGTGACCACAACCACAGACTATTTAACAGAATTGAATAACAAGGTTGAAAAGCAAAGACAAATTTCTAAAGAAATGATCCACTTAATAGGAGAATAGGTGACTATTATAAATTCATTGAATCAAACAAAATCGAATCCCTGATAAGGAAATAAGAAAGGTATCTAAAGCACTAGAGAATATCACTAATGCATAAATACACGCTAGGTTAGAAACTGAAAGTAAAATTCATAAAGAAGAAGTTGAAATAATCATCTTTAATGTAAGAATTCAAAACAAGCTACAACAATTAGCTTTTACTGTGAAAAGTAGTGGAACAGAGTTAGCTAAATTAGAACAGGCATTGTATGTAGCAGCAGATATGAAGTATTATACAAAATCGAAAGATTACCCCACATTTACAGTTTGTAATTCCTATGGATAGTGATCATATCTACATGTATTATACATGGTTGGATGTATAAACAGCTGCAGTAAGAGATACACTGGGAATGGTTATAGAGATCCCCCTAAAGGCAACATACAGAATGTTTAAACTATACTGAGTAATACTCTTACCCTAATGGTCAACATAAATATCTAGAACTAGCATAGGAAGACATACTAAAATATATAGAGGGACCCATTAGAGTATGTGATCTTAATTCTGGAATATATTCGATACCAGTAGTAACTTGTAACTATGTGATATTTGCATAACAATATCATATTGCATTATTAAACATAAATTATATACTACCATACTCTACTTATCCTAGTCATACCTCTTCAGATAATCAATCGTATTGCTGAATACTTCCAATACAACATTAGCTCTCATTTTATCCAAGTCATTGTTAATTATGCACACATCACTGTTAGGTGTATGGGTAAAAATGGGGGGGGGGGTCGAAATCTTACTCACCTGGGTGTAAGGGTTAATTCTGGTTGGGCATCAGTCTCACTGGTTTCTTCAGTTTCTTTTTTGTAAGTTCTTACCTTCATTCTTTACTTCATTTTCATCTTTTAATTGCCCATACAGATATGGTTGAGGAGTCCTTACTCACTTTAATCTAATAATTAACATGTACTAGTTGTTTACATTTACTGTGTATTTTTTTGAATCTTTACGTAAACTGGGCTTGATTGTTTAATTACCCTAAATGGTCCTCTCCATAGTTTTGCTAGATTTTTGTATTTCTTTTCTTAACCTTAGGTGTGTATAGTGACACTCTGCCACCTAATTTTATTTCACTGGTTTGTGCTTTCTTATTCATCTGTTTTCTTGATGTTCAGCAGCTTTAGTCAAATTTTCATTTGCTATTTGTATTATATGCATAATTTCAGCTTTGTAGTCTTCACCTATTGTATAGTAAATATTTCTGGGCTAATATTCCTTGCATAGGTAGCATTACATCTGTACCATATAACAGAAAGAAAGGGCTTTCTTGTGTAGAATCATTCTCAGTACTTCTATAACAGTATAAGCTAAAAGCAACAAAGAAACTTGCTCATCCCAGGTATATTGGCTTCCATACACTGTTCTAACAATTTGACCAGTTTGTTCACATCTTTTGGTGCTCTCTACCTCAGATACACTGACATGTCAGTTAAGCACGTGATCATTAACTGTTCACATATTAGTATCTGCCAGTCTCTCAAAATTATTTTCACATTCAGCCATATCAGTCCATTTTGTGAAATATTGCCATAGATGTGCCACAAACTGGAATACAATTTCTCTAGTGTCAGGTTTGACACTAGATGAAAACCCTTCTTTGATAAATTCATAGCATTTCAGCAAGGCCACTTTTAACTTGTCATAGTCCATGGCATTTTCTGACATCATGCCTGCATATACTTCTAGAACTTTTTATTTTTTTGAGAAGTGGGCTGAGACAGACTGCCCAGTCACTTTTGTCTCATTTCTGACTTTGATATCTCTCCAGGAAAGCATTAATTTCACCTTTCTGTTCATCAAATTTGGACAGTTGGCCCTGACCCCCATTATCATTCTTGGGTCTTTCATTTTTCTGTTGGGTGAGTTTGGTGATATCAATTTGTGATCTTATTCTCTCTATTTGCAGTCTTTCTTCTCTCTCCTTTTCTTCTTTTTGTCTTTCTTCCTCTCTTCTCTCTAGATCTTGTTGTCTTTTTAACAAACTCTCATAGATCACTATCTTTAAACCCAAGACATTCATTTCATTCGACCCATTTTTTCAAAATCAATGCTTCTGTCAATGCAATACAAAAGAATTGGCAGAAATATTCAAAAATAGATAACATATTTACAAGTCATACATTTTCAAATTAGTTACCTTTAGTAACCTTGACCCTTCTGAGGGTGTTTTGAACCTAAATATACAAGATGCTGAGAACAGTTTTACTCCGTTACTTGGAAATGACAAACTTAACTAAGTCAAAGTAGTTTAGTTTTATATTTTGTTCATTCTTTAATTAGTTGGGCATTATAATGTTGATGTGTTATTACTGTTTTTTTTTAATAAGTTTTGCATAAAGTACCTTTTTTAAATTAGAAAAATAAAAATGTTATTTTCTGTATTTAAAAAGTAGTGATACAACTTTCATTTTTACAGGAGTTGTATAAAGAGACAAAATGTTCTAATAGTATCAACATAAAAAAATCAAAGAAAATAAAAATAGGTAATATTTTATATCCAGTCATTGAGAAGAGCTTTGTTATAACAACTTTTTAAAAAAATGTGAATTATTTTACCCACTGTTTTATTGTGCCAAAATCTTATTTTGAAAAAAATACCATTTAGATATTATATAATGTTATTTTACTTTTTAACATTACAAACCTTTAATTCGGTTGATGAAACTAACTTTCCAACAGAATTAGGAAGAACACTTCCTTTCACCATAATAGAGAGAAGAATTGTTTCACTCAAACCGTATGCTAAACATAAGAATAAGAATCATTTGAGTTATTATTTTAATGCTTCTGAATCTATAGTTTAAATAACAACTACTTGTTTTTTAATACAAAGAATCAAACGTTATTGTTCTTTATAAATATGATTGAAGAAAAATAAAAGCAAATATGGTTTCTTTGTTATATTATGTAAAAAAAAAAGTGTTTCCAGCTTGAATGTTCACCATGAGACTTTATCTGTGTTAATTAAAAGTAATCAAGTGTAATCAAAAGTTTTAGAATTTCAACCTATAGTGTTATTGCTTCACAGAAGTTTTTTATTTGTATTACTTATTAGTTCACACAATTATTTAAAGCTTAGCTGTTCTTATAAGTATCTTTATGGGTATTTGTAAAAACTGTTTCTAAAAATCTATTTGTCCAGAAAATAAGTTCCTTTTTCCTGAGATATTGATTTTGTACACTTTCATGTATAAATTTAGTATGTTATATGATTTTAAAGGTGTAAAAATATTATTTTAATAATAATCATGGCTCCCAGTTATCTGCATGAAGTCTTTTGTTGGTTTAGGCTACTCATTTTGTTATTAGGTGGGACAAAATCTGGTTTTGTTATATGTCTTACAATGTCAGTCAACAGTATACTATCAGAAGAATTATAGCTTACCTTCTACAGCTGTAAAACATGTTAGTCATGATATATATTAGGAAAGCTTGAAAGATCAGTTTGAGTACTACTTGTTAAACTACAGTGTTATGAAACAGAAATATATGCATTAGTACTACAAGTCTTAATCAGCTCTTAAAAGGATGTCACTGTTAAACTCTCTAGAAATAAAGTAATAGTTAAATGTGAGGATAAAAAAAAAATAGATGGATCTCTGTAGCGGTGTTTCCCAAAATATTTTTCTATGAAATATCTACTTACAAACATTTTATAGATATCATGTTTAATAACTGATATCTACAATTTATATCTTACCTTGTCGAACACTTTGCAAAAATGGGAACGTATTCATAATAACCTCTTCATTTGCTTTCCAATTTAAAGGTGCTCCAACTGTTACAATCTCCTTTATGCTGGTGAGATCATAATCTTGAACTTTTGGGTCCATTAGTAGTTTATAGACAAAAGAAACAATGGTAAGAAAGACATTTGGCTGGAAAAGAAAATGCTTAGATAAAGACATCGATGATAATAGGCACAATATCACAAAATTTTGCAGTTTCTACAATGGAAATGAAATTGAATGGTGGGATTGGCAGTTACAATTACAGAATTCATATCTAAAGTTTGGAGTGTGTTTAGCAGCAGAACATGGCTCTAGCCATCAGACTTTTTGATCAACAATCTGGCACATTAACCACTACAGTATGTATGGCCTGAAAATCATTTTTAATAAATGGTATTGATTAGTTGCAAATAAATAAATTATGCTACACTTTTTTATAGTCATATATAGCACATGCTACTACACTGAATTATTTAACAATTATTAAATATATTTATATAAACATTTTCCCATATAAACTCATAAACTAAAGTGAACTAAACAATCATTAAAATAAATTGTGAGATTGATTGTATTTTATGAAGATGGTTACAATAGTAATTCCAAGAAAAGAAGTAAATTGAGCCTTTTTTTTTAGCAAAAGTTCAATACTCAGTGTGGAAGCTACATGTTTAGTGTACAGTCATCAAGATACATTTGCTAGAGTGATGTATTCTGCTAGAGATAATTGTGTGTATAAGAATGTGCAGTTTGCTATAAAATTGTTGGGTTGTTGAAATGTTGGTTAGGTATGTAAAGGAATAATTGAAATAAGCTGTTTAGTTAGCATTACTTCACCCATACAACAACTGAGAATGAAAATCTACCTTCCAAAAATTCCACAATAGGGTACAGGAGAAAGAAGAAATCTTAGCTGAACCTAAGAACCTTTTGAATGGCTTGCCCAATTACTTACCCACAAGAAATGATGGATTCAATGGCACGTGACTTATTTATAGGCAGTATAACAGATGAAGATAAAGAACAGACTAAACAAAGAAGACGTACAACCTTAAAGAATGCTCTGTAATATATCTATATTTATCATTAAATTTCACCTGATATATAAACAACAACTTCAGGATTTTCAATCAATCAAGTTTCTGGTCCAGTACCTTAATGCTGAGTAAGGAATTGCCAATTAATTACATGATAAGTTTATTATAAGTATAAATCCAACAGTAGTATATTTTCAAGCATTTCCTTTTTTTTACTCCTCTTCTTTTAATTTTTTCTATTCATTCAAATGTTACTTTTTTGTTAAGATTAAACATAATTATACTTATTTGTAGATTCTTACTTTGTGCTGAGGAATAACTTTCAGAACCAAATCAAAGTCGTAACATGGAGCCACAACAAGTGATGCATTGTTTTTTATTACTGCACACAGTATCATTAAGGCAGATAAGTGACAAAATGGATATGTTGATAGAACGATATCTTCCAACGAGAACTTTAGTGAAGTAGGATGCCTAGAGAGAAAAGAAACATTATTTTTTAAATAAATCCAGAAACATGTACACAAGTAGAACTAATGTTAGATTGCCTAGAATAACATAATGTTTTTACTTTATAGATGCTTAAAGTTTGCTAATTCAATTTAAGTTTTTGGTAATTTTCAGACACAAACTATAAAGTATACTTTGAAAATGCTTTTTAGTTTCATAATTATTCAAAGATTTTCATGTGATCAGTTACATTTTCTGAATCAATAACTTGAAAATACTTCTACTACTATTGTATATATTTACCATTACAATAACTTTTCATACTGAACAAGTTGGAAGAAAAAGGTTATATTTTCTACCTGACACTAGGTAAACAGTGTTAGAGGTAATTGGCTATTACAGTGCAAAACAGATAATAAATCTTTCAGGCATTAAGGTTGTATTACAGATTTTATAAATCAAGCTGATTTAATCATAATATGATTCTCACGTAAGCTGCATAATGGAGGTAATAATTCCATAGTGCGTATGAACAACAGCTTTTGGTAAGCCAGTCGTCCCACTGGAAAATGTCAAAATCACAGGAGCTTCTTTGGGGTTTAGTTTTGGAGGACCAATATAAGCTAAACCATCATCATCTTGTATCATGTCATAAAAGGAAAAACAATCCTCGGCTTTTCCAAACACGAAGATGTCCTGCATAAAAAAAGAAGACTTTAATGATTATATATCATGACTGATCAAGTAAATTTATCCTTCCTACACAACTGGCCAGTAATTCACAATACAACTGATTTATGGAGGTGAAGCAGATTTATAATGGAACTTCAAAAAAAATATGTGACTTTCTTACTTCAAATTATCAAATGACTTATATAATCCCCAATTATTTATTTTTAGCATAAACATCTATCATTCATTTATTTTTAAAGTAATCCCCTAGTATTTATATATTTTTAAGTATTAAATTCAATCAATTTTAGTGTGAAGATACATAACTAGCCTGTATCAGAAAAAAATTAGTTCTGTAAATTTCATTATAATGCATAATAGTTACAGTAATATGAAATGTAGGAAACTAATTTTATGTACTTGAACAATCATCAACTTTCATCATATTTATTGAAGTCTGAACTATTTCCCAATCTAATTTATCACAAGGTTCTACATTAAATACAGAGACTATTATAACAATATCCTTTTATAGCTTAATTTTTCAGCTAAAAATGATTCTTACATCAGTATGTAAGGCACTAGATCTCTAAACACTAAAGTACAAAAAAAAAGTAATCTCTATATATTTATACAGAGTAACATAAACACATAAGAACATAAATTCATCTAGCTCTTGCCTTAAAGTTGTCAAGATTTTGAGTAGCATTTCTGGTTTTTTCAATGATTTCTTTTTCCACTAAGACATAAACAGCATTAGTGGTCTCCAGAGTACCTCGCAGCTCATCTTATAGGAAAAATGAAACAAACACGTTTTTAATGTCCTTATATTTTGCTGTTTAATAGTGAAACACTCAATAAAGGTTAACTTATATGGAGTTTAAAAAGTATCTATAGTTAGAAAATAGATAAATGGAATTAAAGACATAATCCATAAATGTATACATAACATACTTAAATAAATTCACTTCATAAAACAATGAAGAAGTTATCAGCAAGAAAGAAATTACTGAATATTTAGATTTTACATACTAGATAAAGTCATCATTCTTGCTAATAAAGCAGCTAACAATCTTTGATTTAATTTATAGAAATAATTGTATTACACATTTATGTAAAGAGCTAGTGTTTAATTCAAAAAATTAAAATCTTCAGTTAACAATAGTTATAAATAGTGTCACAGAGAAACACATAACACTTTTATCATACTTTGGAAAACATTCCGTCATAACTCATAATACCCAACTTATCTTGTATTCTCTAACTCCATAAAACACCATACAAATAAATTTATTGCCTGGGATAGAAAAAGTAGTAGTTAAAGACTTGTCAGTTCTAATAGGTAATAGTATGAGATACATTATAGGGTATTTGAATAAATATTGTCTTATGAAATAAAAAAGGATTAGTAACGATGTGTTCATTACAATCAATAATTCCATTGAATGTGAAGAGATAATTAAAAGATTTGAGGTTAAATGAATAAAAACTTTTGGTTTCAGTAATATTTGCACTAGTCTTTCAATTTGTTATGACAGCGGAAGTCACGTGATGCAGATGAGTTTCTCGAATGATCGAGGAAGTCCGACTTTATTCGAGATGCCCTCTTCATTAGTATATAAGCCTGGCAGAGAAAGCCAGCAGGATGATAAAAGAATGAAGAGAATGCAGTAGTTACTTTGAGTTCTGTGTAATTCATGATTCTGTTAGTTTCGAGCTAGTGAGCCATAAAGTGTGCATTTTGCACGCATTGAGAACGAAGTTATCAAAATCATGAATCACTGTGATTTATAGCGTGCATTATAGAAGTTGTTAAGTTTAAAGTGACAAGAAATGTACTGAATGTGGAACTTCTGTGTACTAAAAGTTTGTATCGAGGAAAAATAAACTGGTTTAATCAAGAAAGAACTTGTATCGCTAAAGATCCCCGGAAAGAATTTCTACCAGAAACAAACAAACAAACAAGCAAATACGTAACAAATTGATAAGTTTAAAAAATCTTTCACCAAGAATTTCAAGATATTTTAATAACTAATAAATTAATCCCTTTTTTATAGTACACATACTTGTTTATATGAAAATGTCACTCATAAAAATTACCACTGCTTCACATTAATCCAATCAGACCTGGCTCCTTTATAGTTCTCATTATATGTCAATCCAAAAGCTACATTGGGCTATCTGCTATGTCCACCAAGGGGAATCGAACCCCTGATTTTAGCATTGGAAATCACTAGACTTACCATTGTCTCAGTGAGAGACAAATTAAAAGATGAAATTGTTTAAAACCTGATAGGAACTTTCCTAAAGGAATGTAGTTTCAGAAAAATAAAGTATTGTTACGTCTCCGTTTGTTAATTGATTTTT